AACCAGCAGAACCAGGCTTAAGTGTAAAAGAATGGTTCTGTTAAAGCAGTTTTCAACCTCTGATATGGACCTTTTCCTGCTCCACAGCTGGTTCTAAAACCTGGAACCACCTCAGTGGAAGAGCAGGTCCAACTGTCTGCTGTCTGGTTTTCTGTAGAACCTCAGAACTAAAGCTTTTTGACGCTGCAGGAACAGATGTTTCCATCCATGTGGTGGGAGACTGCAGGTCTGCTTGTTCTTCACAGGACATCAGATCTTTTTCATTTGGACAGTTTATGGAGAAACTTCAGGGGAGAGGTCCATGTAAGCTCCTCCCACATCACGTCAATCAGAACCAGCACAGCAGATTGTCAGGGTGGATGTTTATTTTCAGTTGACGATGGAGGAACATCTGGTAGTGATGGACAAATAAAGCTTTTCTGAAGCACCGAAGCTAGTTTCTGAAAAGGCTTCATTACCGGAAGCTTTCCGACGCAGTGCTCTTTGGCGACATCTTGTGGCCAAAAGTAAAAGCTGCTTGAAACCGCATGAGTTTTTGTATGAACGCTTTTTTGAATTCGCATGAAATGAAGTTCAAGTTTCTTTGTCACTCGCACGGGGCTTTGAACATTTTTTTATTTTTGTAGGTGAATTTTCTGGATGTAAATCACGTTTTTCAGTTGATTCTTTCCTCTGGTGTCAGACGCTGTGCAGCTGGAAGGATTTTTACTGAAACCTTTTTACTTTTGGGCATTTGTTATGATGCGTAACCATGGCAACAAAGTGTTTTTTAACAACCTGGAGCAGCTGATTAACATCTCATAAATACAAATGATTCAACTATAGCCCCAAGTCCCAAATGAGTTGAAAAGGAGGCGCTGTGGACGAATTCCAGTCAACCTGGTGATGCTTGCGTACCTGACCGCTGAGATCCTGGAGGTGGTGGGAAACCCAGCTCGTGACAACGAGAGGATTGAGATGATCCCCGGCACCTTCAGCTGCCTGCCTGTGGTGATGAGGAGCTCTGCAAACTTCAGGGAGGAGTTCTGCTCGGCCTTCAGGCAGTCCTGCAGCCCAGGAAGACAGAGAGGCCCGCCGGATGTGACGGCAAGCTGGATCCGGGTGGACGGATCCGTATCTGTGGCCATATTCTTCGGATTTGCTGCAGGAGATCTGTCCTGTCCACTGCTGTCAGCATCTATAACAACTCTTGAATGAAACCAGGATGAGCTACGACAACACTTAATGTCCCTTTGGGATTAATAAAGTAGTTTTTGATTGAATTGAATTGAATCCAGTCTATGTGTTTTGTGGACTTGGCTATGTCAGCCATGTTCCTCGGGGTACATTGTGAGGGGTGCTTCGTGAATATGGGATTGGGGGTCTGTTACTGTGGTCTATTCAGTCCCTGTACAAGCAGTACGAGAGTTTGGTTTGCATTGCCGGCAGTAAGTTGGACCCTTCAGGGTGAGAGTTGGACTCCACCAGGGCTGCCTGCTGTCGCCAATTTTGTTCATAACTTTCATGGACAGAATTCCTCTGTGCAGCCAGGGGTGGAGGGAGTCCGGCTCGGTGGCCTCAGGATTCCATCTCTGCTGTTTGCAGATGATGTGGTCCTGTTGAGGTCATCGTGCCGTGATCTTCAGCTCTCACTGAAGCAGCTGGGATGAGAATCGGCACCTCCAAATCTGAAGCCACAGTCTTCAGTTGGAAAAGGGTGATTTGCTCTCTTCAGGTTGAGGGTGAGATTCTGCCTCAAGTGGGGGAGTTGAAGTATCTCAAGGTTTTGTTCACAGTGAGGGAAGAATGGAGCGTGAGATTGACGGATGGATTGGTGCTGCATCTGCACTGTTGTGCTCTGTGCTGGTCCGTTGTGTTAAAGAGGGATCTGAGCTGTAAGTCAAAGCTCTTTGTTTACCTGTCGCCCTATGTTCCTACCTGCACTTATGGCCACGAACTTGGGGTAGTGACTGAAAGAACAAGATTTGGGTTGAAATGAGTTTCTTCCACAGGGTAGCTGGACTCTCTGGGATATACCCCACATTGAGAGGAACAGCTGAGGTGGTTTGATCATCTGGTAAGGATGCTCCTTGGGAGCTTCCCGAGGGAGGTTTTTCGGGTTTGTCCAACTGGGAGGAGTCCCAAGGGAAGACCCAGGACATGCTGGAACGACTATGTCTCTCACTTGGCCTGGGAACACCTTGGAGTCCTCCCTGGAGAGCTGGAAAAGGTGGCTATGGATAGACATGTCTGGACCTCCCTGCTTAATCTGCCGCCCCCACAACCTGACTTGGGAACCAGTGGAAGATGATGGATGGATGATGGAACACACCCACAAAGTTTTGACTAGTAACTAGTTCTAACTGGAGGCCATGCTCAGGACAGGGTCCCTTTTCACCGCACACACATTGAGAGACAACTTCAGCACCTATCCTCAAGTATATACCAGCATTAACTAGGTCTAAGAAGACCAGTTCTTATCCATTTTCAGAACCATCACAGAGGTATTCGAAGCTCCTGGTGTGTTCTGTGTTTCTGAACAGAACCAGGCTAACTCCCTTCATGTCAAACTGTGGAATGTCTGAACTGAGCTGCTGAACCTAAATTTGATTCAAACTAATTTTGCACTCTGAGGAACAATGCGCAGTGTTCACATGGAGAAATGGAGATATTAACGCTCTAAGACCGTGAGCAGAACCCTGAGCTCATGTCTTTCTGACAAAGGTCTTCCTCTGTTCTGATGCTCGCGTTCTAAATGTTCTCTCAGCTCACACAGACAGAGACCTGACTCTGGATTATAAATGTTGAAGTCTTAGTGGTTTCAGTTGGACTGTTTTGACTTCAGCCCCTGAAAGATGAGGTTCTTTGTTCAGGAACATGGATTTTGTCTAAATGTGGGTTAAAATGGATTTAAACTAAAGATCAAACAATTAAAAACTTTGTTAGACTCTGAACAGAACCAGACGTCGTGTTCTGATCTTGCTCTACAATAAACTTTAAAGAAACATTGTGGTTCTTTCTGATGCCTCTGATTGATTCTGCTCGCTGTCAATCAGTCTGACCCCTCCCCTCTCTGTCTGCAGATCGCTGTGACCGGCTGACTACAATCAGGATGTCGTTGGACCCAGAACCCATTCTTCCTCCTGAACAACCTGTCAGACACAGCCACACCTTCTCCACACCTGCCATCCTATCAGAGCAGCCACAGGTGGCTAAGGCCCACTCCCCCATTGCTTCTAAAAATGGTCTCCAGCCTCCAACCAACAGAAAGCTCCTCCTTCAAGCCCCTCCTTCTCCTCCTCTGCTCAATCAGAGGCTCGGGAAAAGACGGTACTCTGTGGGCGTCGGCTTTAAGGGTGTGGCCAAACTGCGTCGCCGTGCCAACAGTGAGTGCCAGGCGGAGCCAATGCTACCAAGTCACTTCCTGTTAGGAGGGAACATCTTTGACCCATTGAACCTGAATTCTCTGCTGGATGAAGACGTGAACCGGTGAGACCACCCCCTGTCTGCTTTACCAGCAGGGGTCATTACAGACCAGGCACCATCTGTAGGTGGTGAGAGGACCGCTGGGTGGTGAGACCTACCCAGCTCTCACTGGTGAGACCACCACCTGTCTGCTGTACAGCAGGGGTCAGTACAGACCAAACACTGTAGGTGGTGAGAGGACCGCTGGGTGGTGAGACGTCTCCTCACTAGTGAGACCACCACCTGTCTGCTGTACCAGCAGTGGTCAGAGCAGGGGTCAGTACAGACCAGAGCAGTGGTCAGTCAAACATTGACTATAGGTGGTGAGAAGACCTCTGGGTGGTGAGATGTCTCCTCACTGGTGTGAGCACCACCTGTCTGCTGCACCAGCCGGGTTCAGAACAGAATAAACATTGTCTGTAGTTGGTAAGAGGACTGCTACGTAGTGAGAAGTCTCACTAGTGAGAGGACCGCAAAGTGGCGAGAAGTCTCACTGGTGAGACCGCCACCTGTCTGCTGTACCAGCAGTGTTCAGTACAGACCAGACACCATCTGTAGTGAAAGGACTGCCGAGTGGTGAGATGTCTCCTCCCTCTTGTGGTATGTCCTGGTGAGAAGACCTGTCTCCACCAGGTTTAAACAACCTGATCATCTTCAGCAGGTTACTAAACTCCACCTCCTCCTCAGGGCAACCAATCTGGAGACTCCAAAATGCTCGCCCCTGCCGTCGCGCAGCAGAGACCCTGTAGAGATCCTGGTTCCTCGTGACATCACCGACCCTCTGAACCTTAAGGGTGAGGCTGAGGACGGGAAGGGTGCAGGAGTCCTAGTGACCTCCCTGAAGTCCAGGAGGAAGCACAGATACAGACACCATGGAAGAGGAGGGGAAGAGAAGGAGGGCACACCTGCCCGACTGTTCTCGTCCACAGCTGGACTCTCAGGTGAGTCACCTGGACCAGGTGTGCAGTTCCTCTGTTCTGGGATGCTGTTTCTTCATGAACATGTTCTCTATAAAGCTGTGAACTCCTCACACTGCAGACACTTTTTTTCAATTTATGAATCCTCCCAGACGGGAAGAGAAATGTCTTCAGCTTTAGAACAGAATCCAGCTGTTTTTTGTAACCTGCAGTTCCTGCTCTGAACAAAGGGGGAAGCATTTCAGCATCTCCTCTGTCCTGTGAACTCAACACCGCCATCACCTGCCGAGACGACGTGGCTCCACCACCTATCCTCCCTCGGAGACACACCCACCCACTGCCAGGTTCAACGCAGAACTCTGGGAACATTCGGAGGCGGAGGCGCACCACTTCAACCAAATCTTCTGATGTTGTTACTTACACTGGCACCATGGCAACATCATCAACTTCAACCAAGTTTCAGACACCACTGGTGGGAGGAGCCAAGACTGGCAGGTGAGTGTTACTCTTACTGTGATCTGATTGGTTGCTGGGCTCATGTAACCTTGGTGGTTTCTTTTTCAGGTGTGGGGAACCTCAGCTTTGGGCAGCTCGGACACTACGAAAGAAGGACAAACAACGTTACCAGTACGGGAACCACAGCCGTTTCTACGGTTACCATGGTTTCTATGGTGACCGGAATCGAGGGCGGGTTGGTGCAGAGGAGGACTTGAGGCTCTGCCTCCTGGAAGCTGATTGGTTCAAAGACAAGTCAGTGTTGGATATCGGTTGTGGTACCGGTCATGTGACACTGGCTGTTGGCCTGAGGTTTAACCCCGCCCACATCTTGGGGGTGGAGCTAGATGAGAGACTGGTCCATGCTGCCAGGCAAAACATCAGGCACTTCCTGTCACATGACCAGGTGGTGGAGGAGAGAGAGAGGAAGAGAGAAGATCAGGGGGTGACGCAGGTGGTGCCCTTTCGCCCCTTCCCCCTGTCCTTCAGGGTGAGTCGAGGTCCCCTGTCGGCTCCACCCCTTTTCTGGTCTTTCTCCTCGACAACTTCTAGGTTCCCCAACAACGTCACTTTCATCCAGGTACGTGAGGCCATCCTCTCGCCTGTCTCGTCCACCTGTCTCTGCCTTCATCAAAGCTGCTCTCCATGGTGACTGTCTCCTCTGTGACTCCACCCACAGGGTGACTATGTGTCAGAGGGAGAGGTGTGGCCAGGGCAGGGTCGGTATGATGTCATCATATGTCTGGGTGTGACCAAGTGGGTGCATCTCCAGTCAGGTGACGGGGGCGTGACCAGATTGTTCAAACGAGCCTATCAGAGCCTGTCGCCGAGCGGATTGTTCATCCTGGAGCCGCAACCATGGAGCAGCTACTGTCGTAGCAAGAGAGCCTCGGTAACACAACTACACAACAGACACACAGCAGCTACATTCTACCATGTTGTTGTTCAATATCTCTCTTTAGGACATTGTAAATATTTAATTACTTTTTCACTTTTTGGTACTTTATTTGTGTACCCTTACTGCATGCTTTTTGTATTTTCTTGTTGGTTTGTTCTTTAGTTTTTAGCGAGTCCAATCGGTTCTTCTCATCCAGAGCATTTCATTGTACTGTTAACCCTGTGTTAACCTGCATATGACAAATAAACACAACTTGAACTTGAACTGTCACAGCAAGAGACCCCCAGTAACACAACTACACAACAGACAGACATCAGATGCAGCAGTGACACACCTGGGCTGACAGGTGTGAGTTATGTCAGATGGAACTGTTAAAACTAACTGTTACAAACCTTTGTTTGTGTGTGTGTGTGTGTGTGTGTGTGTGTGTGTGTGTGTGTGTGTGT